TCCTCCTGTCCCCTCACCCCATCCTGTCCCCCATCTTCACCTCCTCCTATATCCCCTTACCTCCTCCTGTACCCTTTCCTCTCCCCTCCACCTCTTTCTATCCCCCCTCACCTCCTCTCTATAGCACCTTCAGTATCTGCTTTGCAGGCCTTCACTCATCTTACCATCTATGTAGGTATCTGTCTCTCATCTAGTTAGTGAGCTCCCCGAAGAGGGAGAGACCAAACCCTGGGGCCTTTCTATTCCTTGAGCCCTCTGGCATATGCTGTCCCCCATGAGCTTGGTCTGGCAGAGAGTAGGTGCCCCTGCCTGTGGGGGGCCCATAACCTGGCTACCTTACAAGCCATCACAGATTCATTACAAAGGTGCTGTTGGGGCACCTCAGGCCTCTCCAGGTCCCATGCTGACATCTGCACTTGTGGTTTTGAGTCCATGGAATGTTCCTCGTCCATCTTGACGCCTGTGGGGGCCCCGCTGCCTTGTTAATGGGGATAGTCTCCATGAATAAGATAGACCCAGCTCCAGCTGAGTGAACACTGTCTTGCTCCCAAGGTTGTCTTCTTGGAGAAGCGGGTGTCAGAGCTTGAGAAGGACACCGCTGCCAATGGGGAGCAACATAGCCGACTGAGGCAGGAAAATCTCCAGCTGGTGCACAGGTGAGTGTGGCACAGGTCTCTTTACCTCACAGAGCAAGAGTGTGGCTGCTGTACAGAGGTGGCTCTCACCTGGAGCTACCCTCCATCCTGCTGCTGGGAGCCAGCCCAGGGGATGGTGCCAGGTTGCCTTTTGAGTATGACTCCAACTTACTACTGTCTCCAGCCCATTTAGGGCCTCAGAGGAAAGAGGGGAGGGCACTGCCTCACCCCTCACTCAGGAACAACTGAGGCCAGCACCCACACTGCCTGCACAGAGTGCCTGGTGGAGGGAGGCCTGACCTCAGGGGTGGCAGAGGCTACATGGCAAGAGGAGGTGTATGGAATTCTGTGAAGCTTGTGTCCCTGCTCTGAGAACCCATCCAGAGGAAATAGTGCCAACCACAGGCCTTCATTCCTGGACACAGGCTCCTTGGCTTTGACAGTTGTTGTGCTTTGCTTACTTCTTTCGCATCATCTGGTTTCATCTTTATGATCCCTATGAGGCAGATACTACTGTCTCCATTTCACAGATGAGGAAACCAAGGCTCAGGGAGATTACATGATTGCCCAGGGTGTCAGACAGCAAGTGGGGGCTTTCAGAATAGGGGCTAATGCCTTCAGAGCCCTGTGCATTGGGAGCATGACCCATCCTTGGGGCATGCGGGTCCTCACAGGTGATTAGCCACAGAAACCAGTGGGAACGGCTGGGTACATGGCAGGATGCGCAATCTGATTCTGATAGTGAGAGCACTAAGAAATAATAGATGTGTGAAATGAGGAGTAACTACTGTGTTTGCATGGAGGAGGCGGAGGCTACCTCCCCACTCCTGTTTTGTAGACTTTTTATAGAATACTGTGTGAGTTTCAGTGTTTTGAAACTAGTCATTCTCTGTAACCTCATGCTGTTTGCGACTGTGTGCTGCTTGTGCAGAACATGAGGAGCTTGGCCCAGAAGCATCAGCCGTCTGGCTGTGCTACCTGAGCGCATCTGGTGCTGTGGTGGCCAGGCAGTGGGATTCCTGAGGGGCCTGAGAGAGGCAGGAAGCATGGTGTGTGGGGGATCTACATGAGAAGTCTGCTCACGCCAGGCTGCTCTAACCAAAACCTGGCTCTGCCACATACTCTGTGACCTCAGGCAAGAAGAACCCTGTCCTCAAAACCTTGGTTTCCTCACCCATGACCCGAACAAGTGGACTTTGAGTGCTCTTAATAGCGTGTGACATAAGCTGCACACACTCTCATGGCATTCACATCATGGGCATCGGGGTTATACTTGGTTCCTGTCGTAATGTTTTCATCCTGTATGCTACTGACCATGTCACTATATTTTTTTATTATTTTAAAAATCCTCACAGGGGAATATTTTTTCCATTGCTTTTTAGAGAGAGTGGAAGGGAGGGAGGAAGGGGGGAGGGGAGAGAGAAACATGGATGTGAGATGTATTGATTGGTTGCCTCCCACACGTGCCCTGACCGGGGCCAGGAATCGAACCTGAAACCCTTCAGTGCTCAGGACAACACTCTAACTACTGACCCACACCAGCCAGGGCTACATCACTTTAATGAAGATGAAACAAGTTCTCTTGTGCAGTTGAGACTCTGCTCTTGGGGTTCTCACAGGAGGGCCTGCCCCAGGCCCTGCTGCAGAACAGGGTGGGGTCTTCCACATTCATGGAGGGGTTTGGGTTTCAGTGCTGTACTAAGTATATGCCTCATCTCTAGAGACATTGGTTACTCCCTCCCTGTCCTTGTCCAGGGAAGTCTGGGTGGGCCATCAGACTCCTTTCTCAAGCTAACTGGTGAGGGTGTCTAGTCTGATGGGCACTTATCAGTTATCCACATAGGTAGGTAGTGGAAAGTCCACATTGTGTGCCTCATCCTGCCTAGGGTCAGCCACATCCAGTTCCTGTGGATGTTCCTTCCAGTGTTGGCCATAGTTCTCCTAAACAACATGCTTCTGCTGCAGTTCCTTGTTCAGGTTCTTCATGCAGTTCCCCATGTGTAACATGGTCAGCCCACACCAGCCCTGCTGCATAGCTCTCCTACCACCACCTCATGAATTCCACATGCTTCCTATGAATTTGGTTTTTAATTTCTGGATCCCCATTTTTCTTCATATTCTAAGGAGGACATCCCCATTGTTGCCTAGGAAAGGGTGTATAGGAACAGGTTATTTGAGACCTTGCATGTCTGAGACTGTTTCACCCTCCACTGACCATGGGGCTGAGATTCTACTTGGAAGTAGGTTCCCTGAGAACTTGGTGGCTCTGCTTTCAACCTGAACTGTGGCCATGATGCCTGGCACCAGTGTGTAGCCCTGTTCTCATCTTCGACATGAGAGGTTCTCCTGTTGTTTCCTGTGCTGGGCATGTGGTTTCAACCTTTAAATCTGGAAAGTGCCCCTCAGCTTCAGGAATATTTCTAGNGGGCTGGGGCTGAGATTCTACTTGGAAGTAGGTTCCCTGAGAACTTGGTGGCTCTGCTTTCAACCTGAACTGTGGCCATGATGCCTGGCACCAGTGTGTAGCCCTGTTCTCATCTTCGACATGAGAGGTTCTCCTGTTGTTTCCTGTGCTGGGCATGTGGTTTCAACCTTTAAATCTGGAAAGTGCCCCTCAGCTTCAGGAATATTTCTAGAATTATTTCTCCAAACAGTGTCTTTCATTTTCTTATCTATCTGAACTTCTGTTCCTCAAATATTAGACCTTCTGGACCTTTCCTGTCATTTTCTTGACTTTCCTATTCTCTTTTTTTCCTCTATGTAATACCCTTGGTTTTCTTCTTCAACTCTTTGGTTGAGTTTTAAGTGTTTTTTACATTTTTAATTTCTAAGTTACTTTTTGCCATCTCTTCCTTCTGTGACCTCGTCCCTGCTTTGTGGGCATGGTGGCTTAGCTCTGTTAGTTACAGGGCTGTTCCTCCTATTTCCTGCATGATGTACATTTTCTTTGAGGTCCTTTTATAGTTTGCTTTGGCCACTTTGTATTAAAAGCTTTCCTGTGGTAGCTGGTGATCTCTGGCCATCCATTTACTCTTAGGCGCCAAGAAGCAGATGAGAAGCCTTGTGTGCTGGACAGTTTGTAGGCTCCACGCCATCTCTGGGCAGGGTCTGGAGCCCTTGTCTTTGGATGGTCAGTTCCTGCCTCCTGTGGGTGGGCGTAGTGGTCTGGGAAGGGGTCAGGGTCAGGACCCCCATGTGAATATTCCCTTTGTTCCTGTGTTCTTGTTGACACTTCCCCTTACTTCTGCTGTGGGTGAACTGGGTGGGGCTGGTTTGTACACCAGATCCTGGAGTGTCAGTGCAAGGTGCTTTAGGGGCACTCATGGGCTTGTGCCCATCAGAGCGTCTCCCATCCACATGTCACCCTCAGTGTAGGGAGCAGACTGGGGGCAGGGATGGGGAGTATCTCCTGCTTCAGATTGCCCTTAACCAGAGCTATGGGTGGGAAGTCTTCACAGCCTGCCTATCCCTCTCCAGGTAGGGGCAGCTCTCTCAGGGTCCTGATGTAGCATTTAGCCCCTGGTGGAAGGGCAGAAAGTCTCTCACATCCTCCCTTGGCTTCACAGAGCCAATGCCCTTGAGGAGCAGTTGAAGGAACAAGAGCTGAGAGCTTGTGAGATGGTCCTGGAAGAGACACGGAAGCAGAAGGAGCTCTTGTGCAAGATGGAGAGAGAGAAGAGCATTGAGATCGAGAACTTGCAAGCCAGGTAAGCAAGTCCTCCAGAACAGTCAGTGAGAAAATGCAAATGCAATGGATGCTTTCATGAACGACAGCCCCACCCCCCACCCCAGGAAGGTACAGTGTCTAGGAACAAATCTTATTTTAGAAAAATTGGAAAACCTATGTGAAGAAAATTGTAAAACTCTACTGAAGGCCACAAAAGATCTGGCTCTTTTTTTAAAAATTAACTTCAGAGAGAGGAAGGAAGATGGAGAGAGAGAGAGAAACATCAGTGATGAGAGAGAATCGATTGGCTGCCTCCTGCATGCCCCCTGCTGGGGATCAAGCCCAAAACCCAGGCATGTGCCCTGACCAGGAATTGAACCATGATCTCCTGGATCATAGGTGGATGCTCAAACGCTGAGCCACACCAGTCGGACTTTATTTAATCCTCCCTCGAGGACATTTTTTCCATTGCTTTTTCAGAGAGAGTGGAAGGGAGAGAGAGAGTAAAACACTGATCTGAGAGAGACACATCGATTCGTTGCCTCCTGCATGTGCCCCAACTGGAGCCGGGGATTGAGTCTGCAGCTGAAGTACGTGCCCTTGGCCAGAATCGAACCGGGACCCTTCAGTCCAAGGGCCGACATTTTAACCACTGAGCCAAACTGGCTAGGGCCAAAAGACCTGAATTAAAAGAATGACCCTATATAGATATCAGTTTCTCTAAATCTATCTGTAGTTGGATGTTATCTTAGTCGAAATATCAATCTTTTGCCCTAGCCGGTTTGGCTCAGTGGTTAGAGCATTGGCCTGCACACTGAAGGGTCCCAGGTTCGATTCCGGCCAAGGGCATGTACACCGGTTGCAGATTTGATCCCCTTGCCCTGGGCAGGGCGCGTGCGGGAGGCAACCAATAAATGTCTCTCTCTCTCTCTCCCTCTTCTGCTCTCTCTGAAAAGCAATAGAAAAAATATGCTCAGGTGAGGATTAAAAAAACCAAACCAAACAAAAAATCTTAAAGGCAATTTGTCAAAATTAAAATTACCTTTATGCTTCTCTGGAGGCATAAGCCTTACATGAGTCAGGAATAAAGGGGAATAGAGAAAGGCATGGGCACAGTGTATATAAAACATACCTTGAAGACATAGGAAGTGCTGCAGTCCCCTGCTGCTTGGGGACAGCAGTGTCACAGGAGGCACTCAAGCTGGAGGCAAATGGCACATGCTTATAATTACATGTGAGTGATAGTTCTCATAAAATACTGTTTGTAAAAGAAAACCCACAGATAGCTTAAATGTCCACCTGCAGAAAAATGGTAAAAAGGGTCATCTTAGAGTCCCTCCCATTCTCACTCCCAGAGCACCTCCACTGAGTGGGTAGTGAGGGTAGGAGGTAGTTCATAGAGTTATCTATTTTTTTTAATTGATTCAGTACCACTGTTAGAATTCAGAATACAGTAGTTTTAAATATTCATGAAAGGGGACTCTACATTCATTAGCTTGTGTACCTCTCCAGCTCTTAAAGCTGGGAGATACACTTTGACTTTATCTAAGAGCTCCTGGGCATTAGTGGGGCAGCAAGAGTGGGCTGCATGCAGATCTGTGCCAGGGTCACCTGGACAGGGAAACCTCCTTGTATGCAGACACAGTGGGGTTCTACCACCCAGAACAGCGGGCCCAGGCAGCCAGGCAGTGTAGTTTAGTGGACTCAAAGCTATTTCTCATTTGTGCATGCTGTAGCCTCTCCTTTGGGCCTCTCCACTGGGCCTGTGGGTGCTAAGAGGCGGAGCCATCCTTCTTCCCACATCTGTCCACACCAGAGCCTACACAACCAGGTTGTTCTGCTGGCCATGTAGGATAGCAGCGTGGAGGGGCATGTGGTAGATGGGGTCTCATGTAGCCCTAGGTGAGCAAGGCAGGACTCGGCATCACAGCTTCTGACCAAACCTGCTGTCTGCCCTGTGACCTCGGGTCAGTGGCTGTGTGTGCCTGGACCCTCTCAGCCTCCTGCAGCTCCCTGGGGATGTGATGGCAGGGCAGAGGAAGTCTAGTTCTTGGGCTGGTCAGGCCCTCAGAGGCCCTTGCAGCCCTAGGTCAGCCCTCTAATGTCAGCCCAGCACAGGGGCCTCCCCAGCATGGCCTCAGCCCATTATGGTGTACAAGGAAGACACTCCTCAGTAAGAGAGATTGCAGAGTAACATGGTGGTTAGGACAACTGAATTATGGAAAAGAACCAGGGGTCCTTAGAGAAAGGGCTGAGTCTATGGCTGGGACAGGGTAGACCAGCAGAGCCTACAGCATTTTGCAATGCCAGAAAGTAGGGAAGTGCTCAAACAAAAGCATACACACACAGTGATGGGTGCATATCCCAGGGACATGAGCCAACTGAAGGTCAAAAGCGGAACAGTTTGAGCAACACACAAATGATACTATTGGACCAAAACCCAAAGTATAACTAAATGTGATCGTTGGTAAATGGGGAGAAGACATAGACCTTCCTCACAGAGGAATTTCAAATAATACATGGAGATGCCCCTTCCCAAGGGGTGGCTCTGTGTCTTCCCTTTCCATGGAGCATGGGCTGGACTCTGTGACCAGCTTCCAGATACAGAGAATGGATGGGGAAAGTAGAACTTGATAGAGGAGACATCTAGCAGACACACCTTGACCAGGTCAGCATCACCCATGATGAATCATTTAGATTCACATACCCCGATCTGATGTAACAAGAGTGGCACCTCACTTTTGTGGGGTTCTTCCCCAAACCATAACCCATCTAGTCATGAGGAAACACCAGACAGACCTAATTTGAAGGACATTCCACTAAATACATGATCAAAATTGTCAAAGTCATGAAAAACCAGGAAAGTCTGGGAAACTGCCCCAGCCCATAGGGGACAACGGAGACAACTAAGTACAGTATGGTCCTGGACAGGGAGGGGCACTTGTGGAAAAGCTGATTTGCATCCATTGTTTGGTGACTAGAGTGTCCTGATGTGGGGGTATGGGCTGTGACAAACCTGCTGCAGTGATGAGTAGATGCTCGAGGGGAAGCTGAAAGGGGCCAAGGTCCACAGGGACTCTGCACTGTGTCTGCAAGTACTCTGTAAACCTGAAATTATCCCCACACCCAGAGTGTATTTAACAACCATCCTAGCCTATGAAAAGTTTTGGCCCAGAGCACTTGTGTATGTAAGGGTTGGGCTGTAGTCATTGGGGGTAGTCTCTGTGTAACCCTGGGCAGCCCCCAGTGAGGTTTCCAAGACATTCAGCCTCCCTCACCCCAAGAAGGCACATTCCTAGGGAGCAGGTCCCAGCCTCATTCTATGTCCCAGGCTGCAGCAACTGGACGAGGAGAACAGTGAGCTGAGGTCCTGCACGCCCTGTCTGAAGGCCAACATAGAACGCCTGGAGGAGGTAAGCTGCCAGCCAGGAGCACTGATTGGCGGACCAGGCTTTGCACTGAGTGGTCACCGAGATCAGTCAGGCTGGCCTACATGCTTTTCCACACCCTCTGGGTCTGACGCCTGTTGGAGGATTGGGATGTGCTGAGACAAGTTCTCCAAAGCAGGGCAGTCACACGGCCAGCTAATGAGTCTGCAGGGGTATGGGCAGTCAAGGGGTGCACTGCAGGCTGGGGAACTGTGCTGCTCCAAAGAGCAGGCTGATGATGCCTGGCCCTACCAGGCCTGCGTGTGAGGGAACAAGCTCAACTCGGGCCACTGTCCCTTTGCTGGAAAATGCTGGAGCCTGCTTGGCTCCTCAGCTTTCCCACAGACGCAGGATCCTTGGGCTCAGAGGTTCACGCTTAGATTGACCTGTGGTCTGAACCCAGGGATGTCCTTGAGGAGCCAACTTCAGCTGGACCCCTCATGCCCTATTCTGCAGATGTTCAGAGATGCTTCTCCTCCCCCATCCTCTACTTCCTGCCAAGTGCCTACTGGGAAGCTCTGAACCTTGAACAAGTTGGAGCCACCTGGGCTCTGGCTGCTGTGAGCAACTCCTGCTGAGTAGCCATGGGTCAGGTCCTGCTCTTGTCCTCCCCTTGAAACAGTACTGTTGCGGGGAGGTTCCCTGCACCTAGAGTGTCCCAGGCCCACCTTCCACATGCGCTGCACTCGGGGCTGGTAACAGGCCCTGAGAGTGCATGCTTGTGTGCGTGCACCTGGGCTTTGACAGGAAGGCTCAGGTGCAGCCCTGTGGACATCAGTGAATTGAGACTCTCAGGATACATGCAACTGAGGAAAGCCATGTGTATAGGGTGGCAGGTGAGATGTGTCCATGGCAAGTGTTTCACTTTGCAGGAGAAGCAGAAGCTACTGGATGAAATTGAAGAGTTGTCACTGCGGCTCAGTGAAGAGCAGGAAAACAGGAGGAAGCTGGGAGACAGGCTGAGTCACGAGAGACACCAATTCCAGAAGGACAAGGAGGCAACCCAGGAGGTGAGCACAAGCCCAGGGCTGTCACTCAGCAAGGTTCCAGAATCCATAGGGTCCATCTAGAGTGAGCTGCGGACCCACCACTTTTAACTGTTGTGCTGGAGGGAGGTGCTGGGTGCGTGGTGGCATTTGGGAAGTGTGGCGTCATCATCCTCAGAAATGGCATTTAGACCTGTGCAGAGGTTCTGAAACCAGGGACTAGGCTGACACTGCTCACTCTGCGGATCCACACAGCTAATTGAGGACCTGCGAAAGCAGCTGGAGCACCTACAGCTCTTCAAGCTGGAGGCGGAGCAGAGGAGGGGCCGGAGCAGCAGTGTAGGCCTGCAGGAGTACAATAGCAGGAACCGGGAGAGCGAGCTGGAGCAGGAGGTCCGCAGGCTGAAGCAGGTACTGCTGGGCAGACACCCTCATACCTAGAAGAAGCCTACTGGCAGCTGGCATGGGAAGAGAGGTGCCTGGGGGGGTCAAAGCCCAGGAATGATGCTGTCATGCCACCCACCCCAGGATAACCGTAACCTGAAGGAGCAGAACGATGAGCTCAATGGGCAGATCATAAACCTAAGCATCCAGGGCGCCAAGAACCTCTTCTCCACATCCTTCTCTGAGTCTCTGGCTGCAGAAATCAGCTCTGTCTCCCGCGATGAGGTAATGTGCCCACTCCCCTAGGCCTGGAATTCTAAGGCACCCACAGTTTATGTGCCCAGTGCCCATCTCTTGCTTCTCCCACAGCTCATGGAAGCTATTCAAAAGCAGGAAGAGATCAACTTCCGCCTGCAGGACTACATTGACAGGATCATTGTCGCCATCATGGAGACCAACCCGTCCATCCTGGAGGTCAAGTAGAAGCAGGCAAGCCCAGGCCAGGATGATTCTGGACTCCACCAACATCCCAGAGATGGCCACGGCACACGTAGGCCAAGAATAGCAGGTCCATGCCCAAGGAGCCCAGAGTACACAGCTGAGCTGGGACGCATAAAGACGGGGTGCTGGAAGAGCGGGGAGGACAAGGAAGTCCCAGGTCTAGAGCCCACAACAGGTGCAGGCGGAATTGGGTCTGCTCTCAGCTCTGGCCTTCCCCTGACCCCCTCTCTGCAGAGATGTGGGGACAGTGTCTCATGCTGGGATGAGCCCCTCCATGAGCTCCCTCCTGCATAGTAGACCTTCCTGCTGTCCTGCCCTGTCGGGGAAAAGGGAAGGAAATGGGTCCCCACCTGGGGTGCAGCCATCCATATCTGCAGGGCATCCTGACCTGATGCCAGCCATGTCTCAGCTGCTCCTGGACAATCTAGAGGCCCCAGGAACCTTGCACCAGATGCAAAAGAAAGGCAGTGAGGCCAGTGCAAGTCAGGGTCTGACCAGAAGCTGCAGGGCCCTCCCTTCCCCCAAGATTTTCTGGGGCTATCTCCCTGAGTTGCTCAGGCCATCACTGCTCAGGCTACCGCCCAGCCAGAAGGGGCATCTCAGTCCAGCTTTAGGCCCAGGGGCTTCCGGCCATGTGACTGTTCCCACAGTTGGACCCTTGCTACAATAACCTTTGGGAGCTCTGATCCTTCTGTGGGGGCTGGGGCAGAAGCCTCTACTCTGAAATCAGGACTTGAGTGCCTAATGGTATGGAATGTACTGTCTGGATGGGGTGGACATTGCCAGCCACCCGACTCCTGGGGTGCAGATAGGGCTATGGTGAGGTGCTGCCTCCCCATGGGTGTGGCCTTCCTGGCCTCCTGGATTATTTCGCTCTCTGTGCAGATCTTGCTGCCTTGGGTGAAGTCCCATTTTCCCAGACCAGAATCCAAATGTTTCATCCAGGAGTCTGAAGTCAGAAGTCAACGTTCTTCCCCAGGTGCATTCTGCAGGATGGGCAGGGCAGGCTCTCCAAGGACACAGATCAAGAGCAGAGAACAAGGCCGTCCCTTCCTGGCAGCTTGGGGATTGCCTTGCCCAGCTGTACGCTGCCACTGCCCAGCACCTGCGCTGCCAGGAGCAGCATTGTCACCCCCACAGGGATGCTGGGCCTACTGCCCACCTTAGCCCGAGCACTGGCCAGGAGCCTCCAAGCGCTCCCAGGTGGGCTAAGACCCACGCACAAACTGGCCACTGTTGTGTGCGACTGTGTATGGGAGGTGTATGCGTGTGTGTGTGTGTGTGTGTGTGTGTGTGTGTAAGTGTGTAAGCGTGTGTGTTGCCCTGCATCCCTCCACCCTCCATATGGCTCACCTTCTACACTAAGACTTAAGACATTGCCTCGTATTGTATATTTTGGGGAAAGCCTTGGGTGTAAATCAATGTAAACTTGGAGGAGAGATTTTTCTATCATGTAGAGTAGGTATTTTTTATAGATTGGAGGTTGGTCAATTTTTTTAATACTTCCAAGAGAGAAAACTATCTGTGTATACACATGAAATATATATATATATATATATATATGTATGTATGATAATAAATACGGGAACTCTGCATTCTGTGCCCAGCCTCACCCTGCTGACACAGCCTTGGTTCTGTCTATCACTCATCAGTACTGTAACTGTAAATACAAATTGCCTGGAGATGTTGCATACAAACACCCAGGCACTGACTTGCACACTGACCCTGCTTTCATCCTCAAGAAAGACTTCCAGGCAGAGTGACAGTGGCCTGCATGTGGAAGGGTAAGGCCAGGACATTGTCACCACAGATTAAAGCTGTTGCTGCACAGAGGTCGGCTCCTTCTTCCATGGGGGTCAAGGGATGGGGTGCAGTGTCCCTGATGGTGTTTGGGGTATTGGGAACCATGCATCATCTGAATTCAGACAGCAGACCACCTAGTCAAGCCAGCCCCTCCTGGCCTTCGTAGCCTCACTGTGAACCTAGAGAGGCCCTGGGATGGTACCTGCAGGCTGGGCCCCCCAACAGAGCTTGTCCAAGTGCAGTCTTGGGGTAGGGCCACATGATGGGCTGCGGGGGCTAGATCATGGTAGGACCTGGCCCTTAAGTGCTACCCGGCTGCCAACATGACACTGAGCAAGGGCAAGCTGGGCCAAGGAGTAGGCAGCATTGTGTCAGGGGTTCGTGAACAGTCCTATGGGACATGTAACCAGGTGAAGAGAAGGGCTCCAGGAGAGGCCATGCATAGAGTACCCAAATGTAAGGCACAGAAAAAGCCAAGACCCTCACAGGGCTGGGCTTGAAGAGAGGGACAAAGGGTGGGGAGTCACAGGGACACCACCAAGAAGGCTACTAAGGGTAAGTGACCAAACCTGATTTGAAAGGGAGTTGTTAGCTAAAAGTCCGCAAAACTACATTCCCCTACCCCCCACTGAGTTACCTGCATGTGACACAAATAAACTAAGGCCTATCGAGCCTGAGGACCTCACCCCCAACCACCCAGCCAACATAGGAGGGAGCTGAGCTCAGGTTTGCTGGCCCCAACTGCTGTCCATGGGGTTGATGACTTGATGGTGATAGGTGGACACAGCCTGCCCTGCAGCAAGCAAGGCCCCAGGCCTTATCAGTTGGGAGTGTAGCAGGACTCCAGGGGTCCCCAGGGTGAGGCCCAGGAGTCCTGGACACAGGTGGCACTAAGGAAGAAACTTGGAGGGTGTGGTTCTGCCTGGAGCCCACCTATCAGGATTCCAGGGGAGGGCCAGGACAATGTGGAGCAATTGGCCCTGCACATCTAGCCTGCCAGGTCCCCCACCTGTGCTCCTGGTGCTGAGGTGTAGTTCCCCAGGCTACCATCCGAGAGATGGTCCAACACCCTCTCTCGTTATCAGGTCCACTGGCTGGACTTGCACCAGGCTACCTGTGGGGCCCAATCCTAGCCAGGAGGGCAGCCTTGTGCTGGAGCCTGGGGTGTTAGCTTCAACCCCAGGCTTTTGGGCCTGCTCAGCACTGGGGCACCAAAGTGCTGCTGCATTGGGTTAAGAATGTCAGTGGGGGTCCTAGAGGGCCCTGTCCCCAGCCCAGCTGCACAGAGGGGTCTCTGCTGGCCCAGGAAGAGGCCAGTGTCTCTGCTTTGACGCTGGATGATATCTGCCCTTCCACCTACCCTGTGTCTGTTCCTTGGGCACCAGAAGGACCCATCTGTGCCTAGGAGAAGCAGCTGGAAGTGGGGAGGGGTCCTCTCCCATCAGGTGAGGCCAAAGTGAGGAAGGGGAGGAGGGGAACTGCTGCTTCCTTATTACCCCACTGAGGCGTGCCAGCCCCTCTGGTTCATTTCCACTCTTAAACCTGGGGGTTCACCAGCAGCTGATGCTGAAATCCCTGCCCTGGCCCTCCAGGGGTCTCCAGTCCCAAGCAAACACTAGGGATAGGATAGGGCAGGAGAACAAAGGATGAAAATCCATTGTAAATGGGAACATGGCAGTGCTTGGCTGCTGCCCAGGAGGGTTACCCGAAGAGTTTCTTCCAGGTGACTGAGGGCAGGATTGGGGGAGGGGCGCCCTGGGCAGACTCCAGAGTGTGCTGGAGGGGGCCTCAGTGGGACATGCGAAACCAGTGTCAAGCCTGAGTGCATCCCTCCCACCTGGGGATTCTCCACCCCAACCCTGAAGCACCTGGCCATAAGCCTCCACCCCCACGCCACCCCAGTGATCAATTCTGCCTGACAGAAGAGCACAGAGCAAGGCTCTGCCCCTTCCCTGGAAGAAGACTGCTGGCACGTGGCTGCACAGCAGGCCCTGGTTCCTCCAACTGTCCCATGTGCACTGCCTGGGCCCTCAGCTCAGGCCTGCTCCAGCCTGTCCATGCTAAAGAAAGGGTACCTGGCCTTGGCAGGTGTGGGTCAGTGGTTAGAGCATTGAACTGCACACCGAAGGGTCGTGGGTTCCATTCCCAGTCAAGGGCACATACCTGGGTTGCAGGTTCCATCCCTGGCCACGGTCGGGGCACATGCAGGAGGCAACCAACCAATGTGTCTCACATTGATGTTTCTCTCTTTCCTCTTTCACCCCCCCAACTCTCAAAATCAATGGGAAAATATCCTCAGGTGAGGATTAACCAAAAAAAGGGGGGCCTGGCCGGGCGTGGCTCAGCGGTTGAGCTTTGACCTAGGATCCAGGTGATCGGGGTTCGATTCCCGGTCAGGGCACATGCCCGGGTTGCGGGCTCGATCAATGACTCTCATAATTGATGTTTCTATCTCTCTCTCTCCCTCTCCTTTCCTCTCTCTGAAATCAATAAAGATCTATTTTAAAAAAAAATAAAAGCGGTACCTGGCTTTGCTCCCAGCTCAGCTACCCCAGCACCTGCCCCCTCCACCTGCTGGCATTTCAGAGACGAGGAGATGAAGGCCCATTGAAGAACCCTTACTTTTTACCTGTGAGGGCATCTCACAAAGCAGGCAATTGGTTACAGGTCATTCCATAAAATCAGCCAGCACATGAGTTGTGTCTCTCCCAGCACAGGTGCATCTTAGCCTGCCTGTTGGCATTGGGTCCCACATACTTGTCACACCAATAAAGGTCCCTGTGTCCCCTTCCTGCTAGAATCTCTGCTCCACAGGGCATCTGGGCACACACCACGTTCACTGCTGTGTCTCACAGCTGAGGACAGTGGGCACAAGAAGATTTGCACAGGGATACTTGAATTAACGTTCTTTCTGCTTGGCCTTCCCATCCCTTCTCCCTTCTCCAGGTGGGTTCATACCTCCCTCCTCCCTCTCCCCTCATAGCAGCTATCTTCTGTATCTTTAGAGTGTGAGCGTGGTGTCCTCTGGCTGGGATGGTACTGGCTAAAGTCTAGGTAGTCACTTTATAGTTATTTAAAATTTACACCTGTGTGCCTCAGAATATTTAAGATGATCACATTTAAGATTGACTCCACAGATGTGTCCCTCATCTTGCTGTTCTGGTGTCCTCCTGTGGCCCACTGCACATGGAATGTACCCGTTCTTTTCAGCTCCCTCCTGGGACAATGCACAACTCAAGAGTTTACAAGACTCCTCCCAAGACCCTCTTCTGGTGACTGGGCTTTCTCCCCAACAGGTCTTGGTTCCTTACTGGGGAGGGCTAGGATGCTCCTGCTCTTTCCTTACCCCCATGTACTGCCTGGCTCTTCAAAAATCTGCAGTGAGCTAGCAGGAACATGGGCCAGATCACTGGCTCAACAACTGTTTCTCTTGCTGACAGGTTACAGGGCTGTGGACACCAGTCCTGACACAACCACCCCAGGCAGTGAGGGGCTGGAGAGGGAAGGGGACCTGTGGGAGTCAGCCCTTGACTCAGTCCTGTCACATGATTCCACAGCCACACCTGGTCAGAAGCCTTGTCACCTTCATGCAGGAAAGGAAGCTGGGGGTGGGCTGAGTGGCTCTACAGCCTGGTGCCCCGCAGGCAGCTAGTTACCTTGGAGCGCTCAGGAAGCAGCTCTGTCTTGGTTGCAGCTATAGCCCAAGCCTCTACATTGGAACACTGCAGCAGCATCTGGAGAGTAAGACAGAGGTTTCTCCAGGGCTTGAATGTCCTCCCAGTAGCACAGAGCCCTGTCGATGTAGGTACTCCCGAGGTCAGCTTAGCCTTTATGGGCACTGAAGCAAACATTACCCAACCTTATATTTGTCAAACTCTATTCCATCTTGAGGCAGAACTGGACCACAACCAAAAAACTCGCTGAATCTTCGCCGATAGCCTTGCTTCTGTATCTCCTCCATGCCCAGTGCCTTCTCAGGCTCCCCATGTTTCCCTGGATGTTAAGTAAGAGTCCTTGGGGTTCTGCCCTCAGCCATCTCCACTTCCCACTGCAACCTCTCTGTGCTTCTGTTGCGTCTGATAAACTGTTAACTCAGTTTTCCTGTATGTCCTGCTGCCTCCTGGGCATCTAGACAACAGATGGCAGAAGGGCTCCAGTTTCACCGCAGCTGGGTGTGAGTGACCTCAGAAGTGCACGACGGGAACTTAAAGGGAGACTGAGCCTGAGGAAGCGCTCTTGCGCAAGGGGGCGGGTTCTGCTCGGAGGCCCCTACGGAGTAACACAGGCTTCCCACGTTTCAGGACTTCCTTCTGGCCCGGCACCGGGCTCCAAGTTCCGTGGTGGTATCATTTCGTCCTCCCAATTGCTCAAGTAGATACTAGTTTCCCTCTTTTGCTGAGGAAGCTGAGGCTCCGAGAAGTAACCTGCCCCCTAAGTGATTCCATAGCCACACACAGTCACAAATCTAAGCGCCAAGGCAGTGTCTTACACCCCAGTCGGTCCCACCAAAACTGAAGCTTTTGACCATGAAGCCCTTGAGGGGAACCGAGGAACGGAGAAGTTGCGGAGATGGTCTGAGACAGCTGAGGGGGTGGGGTAGGGACTGAAGAGGCCCTGGAGGAAGCTAAGGTTTATGAGCACCGTGGATTTGTAGGACCCAGAGCGAAGCCGGGTGCTAGTACGTGGAGCGGGTGGGCAGCCGGCAGCCCCACACTTCTTCACGCACAGTACAGCCGGAAGCGCCTAGATTGGAGCGGCTACTGATGTTCCGCCTCTTCCTCCCGCGCGCAGGGCATCCTGGGAGCTGTAGTCCCAGTCTTATACTTGGCTCATCCCCTTGCCACTCCTTGCTAAACCCGGCACGCAGCTTTCCCCGGGGCCCGGGGCTCGGCCATCTCCAGTGGCGCTGGTGGG